AGCAAATGTGCCAACAATTCGTGTTCCAATCACTACCCAGAAGTACCTACGGCACTTTAATTAATGCTCCTAAACGCAATGCCTTTGGTCACCCAAATGAAGGTATTCAATTGGAACTGCGACTTGAAAAAACGGAGCTCTCCATAACGCCTCCTAACCTTCCGTTTAAGCGAGAGCACCAACAAGTCTACAGCTCACTGAACTTTTACACTGTAAGAGTAAGTCCTACATATTCAGCGGAAAAATCACCACCCGCCCCAACGAAAAATGTACAACTGTTAGAGCGAGAAACGTCCGTAGAAAATACCACTTAACACTTTCTTGATCACATATTAATGCGCTTTTCGTACCCAATTATTGCAAAGGACAGGCCGTAGGAAACTGCTGGAATTGACACTATGGAAATATGACTCGTGCCATTTCAAATGAGTTTGTTCATAGCGAGCAATTACACCACCGCCATCGCGACAACGGGTGCCAAAGTAGAGCTGGTGTCCTCTACACCAAATTACTCACCAAGTGATCAAAATGCCACCCAAACTCGTCAAAAAAACAGCAACTTCGCAGTGTCGCACAATACTTACCTATGGCAACAAGTGAACTATTCATTCACAGTGGTCAGACATGGTAAAATGTTGTGGGATTAAGCCTTTAGCAAATGATTATTTGAACAGCAGAAGCATTTTCCACCAAAAAGAACATCAATTGGTTCCAAACAATTGCAAAATTTTGTGCAACAATATGTACAAAGATGAGTACTTCAACAAGTAATGCTTGTTTATGCGACGCTGAACTATTCCCTTTTTGTCGTCCATGTCTCCTCCACGATCATCTGATTCATCTGAAACGACAAGCTTCAACTTCTCCATCAATTACGTAGACAGATGCGCAACTGAAAAGCTTTAACAGTCAGCAAAGCTTACAATGGAACCGCGAGAGCGAGTGATCGAAGTACATATGGATGACAAATAAGCACTGAACTACCCACCTCTGCAAACTAAAATAAAAGCTGGTAAATTGACTTGAAGAGGACTCACATACAACAATTTTGGCAATATGCACTACTTCACAAATTCAAGATCACACCCACGCATACAATCAAGGAATAAATGTCATTCATCTAATACACTAAACATCCACAAGTACAATTAGATGCATATGGGGCATTTCATACCAAAATTGGCATCAACACCACTTCGCCAATGCAAAATTGCATCCATGTCTACCGATAGTGGTATACATTACGTTGGCACATACCCCATTTCGCTAACATAAAAATGCAGGCACGTACAAGGCATAATATGCCTCACGCTACAAATACAAAACAATGGTTAAATAGAAATATAGGCGTTTCATATAACTAATTTGGAATTAATGCGATGCTAAAGAACGTGAGTGTGCATTTTAATGAAAAGCACAAAAACACATCCACAAATGGCTACACAGGTAAACGCTCCATTTAAATAGTACAAAAGTACATTTTAACACAAAAGAGAGGCACACAATCAACTTCAACAATATAAGTATACATCCACGCATAATAGCAGGGGTACATACTCGACGTCATAAATACAAAGCTCCAGCTACACTAACCAACATAGGCAGATGCCTACTTGTATCAATGCAAAAACACCCACAAACAACAACAAACGTGTATTCTCTACACATGCCCACACAGTTATATACAACATCCGGCCTTTGCAAAATACGTTCACACATACCAAAGTGATATATAACCCACCTTACTAGTACAAATAACATATCCACATGTGCATGTATACAGAGGCAAATAATCCATTTCAGCACTCTAAACACATCACACGTACTAACAAGCGTGTATACATGTTCACTAATATAAGACACATCCACAAAAATCCTAGGCGCATTCTCTTTTTTGCTAATGCTAGTACACACTTACCCACATACACTTGGGTGTAGGCTCCATTTCCTTAATACAGGCATGCATTAATAAATATGAACAAACGAATAAATCCTATTATTACTACACTTGCCCAGTTCATGCCACACTGTCCAGTCCTCATCGTCCTCGTTTTCACCATACTAATCTAATGCATATAAAACCTCTTCATTTATCTTCTTATCCATCGTGTTTATGGACAGATATTCACCTTAAACGACCTCAACAACCAACACAACTTGCTATGGGAATTCGAAGGTAAGTGCTCAATGTACACGGGTGAGCAGTAAGCACTGGGACATCCACATAAACAAACTGAGAATATGATATAGTAGAATGTTTTGAAGAGTAATTCCTTACCTTACAGCACCTTAGGCAATAATTACTACCTAGAATATTAATGTCGGCAGAAATGTTTAATGCGCAGCCCAAAATGTTTTCTGGTATTAAAGTGATGGGTCTGTATGTATTCTATGCATAAGAATTTACTAGGATTGAAACTCACTTTAACAAACGACTTAAGAACTTTTTTATCAAACAAATCTGAGTGCTAAAAATACAAGGACGTGCTGTTAGTGCGTTGTACTGCTTTATTACCCTTTATTACCCCACTGAATTATTTGTAGGTTTGCATTTAAAGTGGAGCTTCACTCTGGGTCGGCCATTTAGTCCTTCAGGAGGCATTGTAGACCGATCAACAAAAGGGCTGCATACAGCTGGAGGATATAGGCTGGATAACAGTCGTTGTCTGTTTTCGTTGTAAATAAGGTTGAGTTGTGTGCCGACGGTCAATTTTACAATTATTGTTTTGTATCGTAGACGCTGTGACCGAAAGTACTGAGCTAAAGTGGGCGCTGATATCCTCGATTTAAGTGGTATGATAACTAACTCAAACCGTCTCACACCATGGTAAAGAAAGATTGTTGGTTAATGAAGCGCAGTTTGGGTGTGCTCAATGGGTGATTCCTGAGATGGAACGAGTGAATAGTAAGGTGCATGTATTCAGCTGTAGGCTTAAGTAAAATTGAAGAAGCTCGACAACATGGAAAGATTTCATCAAACGAAAAATTATTTTGAATGTATAATTGAGCGTTTAAATCAAGGTTGGAGTGAATGTAATTTTAATGCAAACATATGTAGACAAGCTCGCGTAAAATGGGACAAAGAAGATAGTACAAATCAATCACAGCGCCCCACTGCCTATGAATGTTTTCCTTCAGATTTTACGAGGAATAATGCCAACGAGGCATTTGTCGCATAATGGTTTCGGGCCCCAACCTTTTTACGCCTCTTTTGTGAATTCCCCTTAAAGACTTAAAAGCGGCCTGATATTCACTGATCCCGTGTCAGGAATCTCGCATTTGGCACACTTAACCTGTGTGCATCGAAGCACCAATCCTTCTTCATTGTCTCCAACGCATAAAAAAGCATGACTTAATGAAATGTAACGAGACAGCGCTTATCATGCATCCTCACAATCGCCACACCCATACTGTAGTCTGTCTACCCACCGAATTTGTTTATGGTCTGCGACAAACAGAATAACATCGTCCCAATCTATCATCTTCTACCACTTTATTGCAATAGTGGGTGTAAAAATTATGCTATTATCCGCGATCCCGTATTTGCACATCATCACCACAAATGGTTAATTTCGCCACAGCTAAACTGTCCATTTATCTTGAAGTACTTAGCAATCATGTCCACCACCACACAATAGGTCGGAATATCCATGAGAACTGCACTTTTTGCACAAAACAGAAACTCACACTTTCAAAGTAGCACCCTGATTCATGGCATCACCGTTATTCTGGCATTATGGAAAAAGCAGTGTCAGTGATTCCGTAAATCATCTAGGAAAACCCCCAAAGGAAGACACTTGCTGCGCTACTCACTTTCAACTTTTAACTTTATTTGAGTTCTCGTGGTCTTCTGTTATGTTATCTTTCAAAAATATCACGGAAAATAAGGCATTGGAACAGAAACGAGTCAGAGGTATTGAATGAATTTGCTTCTGACACAGGAAAGGCAATAAAATAACAATACTGTGCCAAGGAAATTGTCGAAAAGCAGTGTCATAATTCTGCTACAGCATCTGAGTGCCACTATCTTTGGCGCACAAGGCAAGCAGAATGAGGAGCTGTACAACAAGCAATTAACAAAACACCAAATAATATTCACTCTCACTTGTGCGAAGAGTAAGCAGAGTCCGACATGTCCTACTACTACATTTGACGAGACCTCTTTGCGCACATTTGGGCATTAGTTGCTGTATGCATTCCAGGTAAGCACTAATAAGCTATTTTGTTTTAACCTTTCCGAGCAGCTTCACCTTTTAAATGGTTTTAAATTAATTTCCGAGCAAATTTGTCATTAACTGCCACACACAGATTCAGGGGTCTTTTTAAGGCTTATTTACAAATACCAAGCCTGCAATTATAGGTTACTGCTCGTTTCTACTCCACTGAATTTCATATATGTCATGGTCTTTTGTTCCCACTGATAAGGACAATTCAAGCTCCTCGACTGCTTGTTACATGCGCTCAATTTCAAGACACCTCAGGCGCTCCAATGTCAGACGTTTCTGCCAGCATAGGTGAGCATGAATTTTCGTTCAATTGATCAGTCCTGCATTCTGATTACTGCAAATGACAAGTTTTATTTTTGATTTACGCAATAACCCGTTGTTTGGTGCAACTCCTTTTGTTGTGGTATAGATAAGAGCATGAAATTAGTACGATCCGTAGGTAATTTATTACATGCATATATTTATTCTCTTTCGTGCACTAATGCCTAGGCTCGTATTTGTATTAGTCTGCTATCATTAACAATTTCCTCCAAGTAATTCTTTCTCTCATTCTTGCTCAGCAGCACTCCTGAGTCATTTCGCCTTTATTTAAAGATGCATGTAAAAAATTTCCAAGCTGTTGCTTCAACTCCAAGGGAGAATTTGACTGACACATGTAGAAATGCGTTGTGTGTGGTAGTTTCATCCATACCAAAATATTTCACGCATTGTGGAAAGTATTCGGCATATTTCTTAGATGCAACCGTTTGCATTAGGAATACAAAGAATAACTACCAATTGATGGAATAAAATAAAAAGATGAAATTTAGGAAGAAAATTGACTGGCATAATGAGGACGCTTTGCTGTTCCAATGCGAGTTTAGCACTACTAAGCTGTTCAAAAAGCAAAACCGCAATCCTTCCCGGGTCGAACAAAGTATGCATCCATCGCAGGTGGCGATAGCGAACATCTTGGAATGTATCAGTGAGGATTATCGAAGTGAACATAAATTCTCGGAAGTTCTTATTTATGAAAACAAATATGATCCGTTATAAAGGCATGAGCTGTCCTTAAAGATTTCAAGAGCTCGGCAAGTGTACGCCATTGTTAACAAAGCAGCACCAACAGAGACCCTAGCTCACGTTTAACATCTGCTTTACCCTTGAATTTGTAATACATACTCAAATGCGATGAAATAATGGAGCCCGTCTACCATGCCATAGCCAACAGCCTCGTTGAGCACTTTACCTGTCTAGCGAAAGCTGCTGCCATGACCAAATTTTGTGCACTGTAGTATCACTCGAAATTTACCCTGCAATTTGGGCGAATGTCCATTTTTTACCTTCCAAACAGGTGGATAATACCATACCATGCACTACTGATGACACTTCCTTCTTTCCTCCTTCCGTACTCCGTACTTAAAATTCCGCCTGTTGTCTCTAATCAGAGGAGGCTTACTTTGTACAGCAAGATGCACCACGTTTTTTATTCTCCAACTCTTTTTTATCACTGACAAAAAAGAGCTATTAGCTTCCCTCGAACTATACCACTTCCCACATTCCTCCAACAATAATGCCTCTCTCATTTTCTCTACGCATCCCGTAAATCGTCCTTTTACCTCATTACTCTCAGCCTCCAGATAATAGATGCTTTGATAGGTTGATACAAGAGCATGGGCGTGACCACATCCAATTAACTGCTGAGGTTACTGAGACATTTTGAACAGTGCTATCCTCAGTCAGACACCAGCATCATGCCTCGTTTCGTGATTCATGTACGACCTCTACCTTGAGTGCCTGTTGCACAAGGACCAGTTTACCCTGCACGAGACACCCGCTGGAATGCTCCATTTCTCATTGTATTCCCATTAGAGGCACTTAGATCACGCATTAGTAGCGAACCCGTTCCACAGGCAAGCGCGTATTTGACAGTTGAAAATTCCCTAAATTTCTTCATGGCAATGTATTGAAATGGATGGACTAGCTCCTTTGCACTGTGTAATTCATCCACATATATAAATGTGCGCATGTATTCATGCGCATATGTCCAAATTGCTTTAAAATGTGCTTTTTATGACATCTCGATCTATTTTACTCCCTACAACAAAGTCTAGAGAGAACTGTTCGATGGGCTAGCCTTCCAATTTTAGTCTCCCGTCTTCAATCTCTGGATCCGATATCTTAGGGGCTGCATAATAAGCGTTGCCATCCGTTGAGTGCGTTAAGTGGTAGGCAGGGCATTGTAGTCTTGTGTTAGCAGCGACCCAGAGTGGGAAGAAGGTGGAAGCACGATTGGTGAAGGGAAGGGATTTCATTTACTGCAAATCAAACAAAGCATTTGTGAGCCGCTAAAGCCTTTTCGCCATGACTGGACAGTGAGTGAATCCAGTCCAACGGAATAGGGAGGGTAACACCACAGCCGTTTTGTTTTGCCGAATGAGACAGTCTGAGGGCATGGAAGTGGGCAGATTTTGGGCAATTTTTGTGCTCACAAATACCTGCGAATTGAAGTTGAGCTGAAAAAGATCTGCTGAAACCCTAATGTTATATAACTTTTAGATGGGTGTCCACTAGTTGAACTTTCTAAAAAAACGACTGATTTGTAGTTTTGCAGAAGTCATAGATCAGTTAGATGTGAGCAAATGTGTCGTGACGCCCTAATGGAGTCATTGTCAAGGCGCGGACAGCACATTTTATGCACTAGTGAACGCCTCATCGCTACTGATAGAAAGTTACCTTGGTAGAGCAAAATGCTTTATTCTAGTGATGTTGATCACCAAAGTTACTGTACGGTATGTGGCTGATCCGCAGTTGAACGTCGAAGGTAACTTACGATAGGAGAACTGAGTTGGTGATTTAAAAGGGGTAAAAGTACATTTTGGATATTAGATGGTGAGGCATTACTTCTTTGTGAGGATATTTCAGTGGGACAGATGGCTCAATTGAAGAACGAATGAAAGCCTTGAGTGGTGCGAGTCTGACTAACTGTTTAAGCGCTTTCATTTTAGTAATTTCAGTTTCGAAAACGAGTGACGCACTTTGATAGATATCTGAGATGATGCCAAGATGACTGACAATGACAATAAATTTGTCGGCTTTAAGGTATGAGTGGAGCAGTTCCTGCCGGAGCAGCGGCAACGTCAACAGCATTAGAAGCGTCGGCGATGGCAAATTGTGATACGGCAGTCACTCCAATAGTGTTGGTCAAATTGGAAGAGATTTGAGCAATAGCGAGGGAGAGGAGGCAAATCAATGTAATCCAGGCCTTACTTTGCTTCTTTTCACTCAAAATGACGGGAAGCTGAGCAACAAAAAGAGGGGCACACAATCAAATTCAACAATATAAGTATACATCCACGCATAACAGCAGGGGTACATACTCGACGACATAAACACAAAATCCCAGCTACACTAGCCAACATAGGTAGATGTCCATTTTTATTAACGCGAAAATACACCCACAAATGACGGTAAATGTGTACTCTCCACACGTACAGACGTAGTTACGTACATCATTTCACCTATGCACAATACGTCCACACAAACCAAAGTGATATATAACCCACTGTTACTGCTTCACTTGCCGAGTTCATGCTGCACTGTTCGGCCCTCATCACCCTCGTTTCTCTCACACTTATCCAATCCATGCAAAATCTTTTCCTCTAACTTCTTATTCATCATGTTTGTGGGAAGATATTCACCTGAAACGACGCTAACAACTAACACAACTCGCGGTGTGAATTTGAAGGCAGACGTTTTATGTACACATGCGTTAGCAATAGGCACTGCGACACCCAATTAATATAGCGGGTAGTTTAAAGAGCAATTTCTTACCTCACAGTACTTCAGTTAATTATTATTGCCTAAAATGTTGTCGTTTGGTAGAAGTGGCTATTACACAGCCTAGAGGACTGCTAGTATTCAGGCAGTAGGCCCAAATACATTCTATCCATATAAATTCACCAAGATTAAAACCCATTTTGACAAACAATTTGGCTACTTTTCTAATCAAACAATTACAAACGCTAGGATCATTGTAACGCATTGTCAATAATGTGCTGTACTTCTTTAGCCTTCGTCATTACCCTACTGCATTATTTGTACGTTTGCATTTGAAGTGGAGCTTAGCTGTGGTTCGGCCATTTAGTCCTCTAAAAGGCAATACACACCAAACAACCGGAAGGGTGTGTACGGCAGGAGAATGTAAACAAGTACCTAATTGCTGTCTGTTTTTTTGTTGAAATCATAGTCTATTTGAGTGGACAACGGGAAATTTCACAGGTGATGCTTTGCATTGGATTCGGTGGCTATTTCCTCTGCCTCCAATGCAGACGCTGTGATCGAAACAACTGAGATAAAGTGGAAGAAGATGTCTTCGATTTAAGTAGTATGATAACTAACGCAAAATGCTGCACACGCTGGTGAAGAAAGATTTCTGCTTTAATGCACACAGGTTGGGTGTACCCAATGAGCGATTCCTAGGATGGAACCAGTGAAGGGAAAATTAATTTTTTAATTCTTGGTACGAATTCACAAAAGAAGAGTGGGAAGATTAAGGCCTAAAGCCATTACGGCATTAAGGTCTCGTTAGGGCCATTCCGGGTGCAACCTGAAGGGAAACGTTCATAGGTAGTATAGTGCTTTGATTGATTCGTGCACTCTTCCTTACCTCATATTACGGAATGCAACGAGGCAGCGCCTGTCATGCAATCTCTTCAACCACCACACTCATGAGTTAATCATTCTACGTACCGAATTTGCTTATGGTCTGCGGTACCCCGAGTGACGACAGCTCAACCTACCATTTCCTACCACTTTATTATAATAACGGCGTAAAAATGGCCTGCAATCTGCGCTGACGTCATCGTATAACTTCGTCACAAGTCTCTGGCTTGTGCTCGCATATTCTTTCTTTTTCATTCCATTTATTGCATGGTAATTTAAGTGGAAACAAGTGAGTGAGACAACAAACTGAACTACTAGCATAATTTTGCAAAAACTGCCGCAAACTACTTTTATTTTGACCTTAATTTGTAGCATCAATCTACTTATAATTACGACAATCATAAAATGCATGAATAGGAAACATCAAACCAAATGAGTTGATTGTGTGCTAAGTCCGCATTTAGCCGACCGAACTGATCTATACATGATTCTCAGTGCGGTCATGCTTTAACTCGTAGCACTTCCACCTTCCCACAATACATAGCCCTTTGTCCGTAAGTGATAAAAGGCGCAAATAGTGAGCTAGATACCAAGACGACTTTCACGTTCATGCCCAGTTAAGTAAACACAATCTTTCGGACTATATGGATTGCTAAACCTTTTAAACTCTGCTCAGTTCAAAAACAACTTATGCCTGTCTGTTTCTTTGGAAGGTGCAATACGTTTCAGCCAGTTTAAGGGTAAAGTAAATTGTAGCTGCCATCATTTACAAAATAAGAACGACCAGATTTTACATAGCTTGCTTCATCCCACCGATTTAGAATGACTGTTTCCAAGTCGATTCTAGAATGGGATTGCCTTAGGGGCAATGCCATGTTTTTGCCATTTTGAATCACTTCATCACCCAAAATAACAAGATAACTCTATTAATATGCGCTAATGTGTTTGCAACCATGCTACTCTTTCACCGCCTCAGTAGTCCATGCATATTGCGTTGGAGATTATTCTACTCTTTCAAGATATTAAAACTTTAGCAGAAACTACGTACCCAACTTTTATGGCAGAGTGGTTTCTTGTATTTCATGTGATGAGACCTGGTTACTATTAGACTGGCTCATTTTACACGAAAAATTACTGGTAAACATACCGATCGAATGGGAGCTTATTTTTGCATTCAATACGATGGCATTTTTGGCGGTACAGAAAAGTGGCAATGCACCAAACTTCGCTAAAACTACGAGTAATGCGTGCCAAAATTAGACTTCCATGCACCATATTAGCCAAAATCTTCTCTGATCGGGTGTACATTCAAAAATGCGTAAGAGATTGCAGGAGAGCGTACGAAAGCGAGCATTTCTAATCATTCATGAGAAGTTAGATCAAAAGCGTTAGACTAGGAATTTAGGCTAAGTTCGGGTCTCACAAATCATGCATGTAGACAGCTCTGGGGTTTAAAATCACTTTTAATCACATTTGCCAAGAAATAAGGGAGAGGGGGCCGTAACTCAGCCATCCATATTATGCTTGCACTGGTGGATTCAAGGTCACTGCGGCCCCAAATGGTCATCACGAAGAGGCGCCTTCTGCTTCCTCTTCAAAAAAGGTGAACTGAAAACTGCTTCTACTCACCCTCGATTTCTCACTAACGTTCCCACTAGATTATATTATTGACAGTATTATTGAAACCTGGCGCATCAATAGGCTGCATCTCGCGATTTGATCCTCTGATTCCGTTCAGGCAGATACTCTTCACTTATGGACGATGTGCTCTCTATAGTTTTAGCACTTAGGTACTTGCCCATCAACTCACTAGGATGATGTTCCTCCGCTTTCACATGCCCCAAAATCACGAAGTCAGCTGTCATGGTGGAGGCAAATCATGATTCTCTAGTCGAGTGTGGAAGAAACGAGGGTGATGAGGTCGGAACAGTGCGGCATGAACTGGGCAAGAGAAGTAGTAACAGAATTCGTTTGTTCCTATTTAATAATACATGCTTGTGTTAGTGAAATGAAGCATACACCTAGGTGTGTGTAGGTATGTATATGCTAGCATTAGCAAAAAGGAGTATGCGCCTGAGATATTGTGTGTGGATGTGTTTTGTACTAGTGAATATGTGTACGTGTGGATGTATTTATATTGCTTAGATGGAGTATTTGCTTCTGTACACATGCACATGTGGATATTTTAATTATATTAGTAAGGTGGGTCATGTATCACTTTGTTTTATGTGAACGTCTTCTTTACAGGAGTATTTTTGCGCTAAAAAATTGGGCACCTACCTGTGGTGGTAAGAGTGGATGCGATTTTGTCACAACCAACACCAGCATTGCACTGGTTGAAATTAACTTCCCCGCACAGTCCCACGTGCGTCTGTATACTGCTTTTTTCAAGGAACTTACCTACTTCCCGTTCTTTTACCTTGCATAATGGAGTGGCATTGGAATAATCTTTTGGGAGTTGTGTTGGATGGGTGGGAGTGGTAAAATGTAGTCAAGTGACTGTAAACGCGTCAGTCATGTATGGACGAAGGTGCATGAAAAAGGGTTAGTAATGGTACTTTTCATGAACAAGTGGTGATCAAAACCACACAGAGACTAAAATTAAGGTAAATTGGACAATAACGGAATGGAAGCTTGCCATTGTTTTACTTAAAATAAGCTGCTGATCATTTGAATGCACTCCTGATTCTCGCTTGGCCTTGTGAAAGCCTCCACCCTTTAGAGCACCTGAATTGCCAAGGATCACTATTTTTTCTCTGCGTTGGGGAACCAGAAAGCATTAGGAAATTGGAATCGCTGCGGAGTAAAAGTGCGCGATTGCCTTTCATTGCACGACTGATGATGGTGCTTAGACAGGTACAGTCACTGCATTTTAGTGTGCGGCAGTTCGCATATTCCTCCTTCATTAATCACCACCGGTGGTAGGTGGGGAAAGGGTGGGAACGTAAGTAGACTATAAGTGAGTTTCGTAGTATGTATTCTCTCAAGTGAGTTTGATCGGCAAAAAGAACTTTAGGCTAATTGGCTGTTACAAGTCATTGGAGAAATCGTGTAGACCCCAATTGCTGAGAGGGAAAACGGCAAAGGATGGACTGCTGTGGATAAAACATTGCCCACTCACAGAATGGATAGTTTCATGTCTCTGTAGGTGGGCACAAACCACAAAGGATTTCTTCCCTTTCTGCTACGGTAGGGGAGAATTTGTATAACTCATTCAGCTTCGCCTATTTTGCAGCTTAATCGGAGTGGACTGAGCAAGTAATGCAGCCCACGCTGTTCCAAAGTTCTCCTTCCTAGTGCTAAGCACATGCCATCACTTTAACTACAAAAAGATTGACAGGGTTTAGAATTTCGCTGCGTGGGCTAGTGTGGCATTGAGGAAATTTCTCCGTACTCTGAGGCGAAACGCATGTGACGTGGGAAGTTCGGACAACGAGATTTCTATATCATGCGCATCTGGATAGTCTGTTGCTACTCATCCGCATAACATGAGACATGCAGTTTAGGCAACAATTCAGGTGAACAGGAGAACTTCAACGAATGATAATGGGTGCACTAAAACTAACAAATGCGTCCCTGATTCGGCTACCTTTCTCTGCAAGACCTCACGACCCCATTAAGCTAATTTTTAGATCAAATCTTGTATACAGGCTCAAGATAAATGAATTCAGACTCTCTTTGGAGCTCACCGTGCTTCACAATGCTTCTGTTGCACCAATCGAGTAGGCGGCAACGCTTTTGCCATTGAAAGCTGGCGAACCCCCACAGGTTGTTCATTGTAGACAAAAGTGCCAGAAATGCTAGAGTTCAGGAGGCCAGGTAGCACCGCATAACGAAAGTTCATTGCACTTCTCGTGCCAGCCTAGTAAGGGTGTCAACCTTGTCATGCATGATGCAACTGCCCGCATTTTGAATTCCGGCAACCACGTAACATCGACTTTGTGAGAGGGAACCGAACCCATCACTCTATGGGGCCTACTAGGGTAAGAAGAGTGGTTTGTAGTCGCTCACCGTAAGTGGACTCTTACAGCTGGAGGAACTTATGATTGCTTACTTATTCCCAAGCCAAAATAACATTATAAGTCCCATTATTTATGACCTATGGCTCTCTTCCCAATTCTCTGAGGTACCATACACGAATGCCCTTCGATTGTGGTTATGATATGGCTGTACCGTCCAGTAAGTGGGCGCATATACAACGATTATTTCTCCGATTGGCGTCCAAACCCGCCAATCAGATGCGCATGATTGACTTCCGTGCAGTGACTGGATGCATGCAGATTGAAATAGCCTGCGGGCAGAATGAAAGATGGAGGGTCCGACGAGTTGGAGTTCGTTCAACGGTACAATAACCTTTCAAGACGGGGTTCCCGTAGGTCATAGCTGGCTTCCCTATAAAACGACGATGGGTACTTGTTTTATTTACATGGACATTTATCCAATGGCGGATAGAGGCAACTCTGTTTCATACACTCACCACACCAATACAGTTTCCCGAAAATACTTATCATTCCAGCCTTGATATTTGTGTTCCGAAATACTTCTACCTTCATAAAGGCTCATTTCATCTCTTGCCTCAAGATTGCACAGGAATGAGTGTACCTTGTACCTGGTTGGACAGCACCCATCCCTGAGTTTACGCATTCTCGGCGCCTGAAAACGACTTTACGTATGACGTTGGTCTCAAAAGCTACCCAAACAGAAGCTGCCGGATCCGCTCGATGTATTATTATCGGAAATAAACGCGTAAACCATACTTATATTTGTTTGTTATACTTGTCGTAGTTCTGCTATTGTTCCCTCTTTTAATAATGTCACATGGTGTGATACATTTCAATGTGGCACTGCGACTACATCGCTTTGACAAAGCTGTGTTCTACATTCTTTGCAATGCTTAAGTGCTAACAGGGTGCGAACTCTATCCCAAAACACTAAGAGGCAAAAGTGTTAACTGACCTCGCCTCCTCATCAGTTGATAAAATGTGAAAGACAAAATTGGTGAAATTTAGTACCTGATGGTAAAGTGATTTCTTTTAATTGGTAAAGCTTGTAGGACCACGTTATTTGGTAAGAAACGTAGACTCTGCCACTTAAGGCGTCTTGGTCCGTCAGTAGCTCCTCTAAATGATGGGTGGTAACTTCGTTAGTGTGTGCTAGGAGGACACTAACTTTCAGCACGCTATTAACCCCCAACGGAAAGCATGGTGTTTCAAGTGCTTGAGCGACTTCTTGAGGGCGAAATAGTAAAACAAACAGCTTCCCCCCTAGGACTCTCGTTCTAGATTTGGTTCACAATACCCCAACTTTGACATCTTTGGTTTAAGATGTCCTTCACATTACTATGCCAGGTTCACCGACCACGCCCTAGTTCAGGCCGATTTTTAGGATCGTTTCTACTCTCAATGATGGAGTCACATCCCATCGCCCTTTCGAGGGGACTCTATTTCGAGCACTAATCACACCAACAGATTTTTTTCGAAAATGCTTACTGTTTCAGCCCTAATGTTTGTGTTCCAAAATATTCCTACCTTCATAAAGGCTCATCTCATCACTTGCCTCAAGGCTGCACAGGAATGCGTGTACCTTGTACCTGGTTGAACAGCACCTATCCCTGAGTTTACGCATTCTTGGCGCCTGACAATGAATTCTCATATGATTTTGGTCTTGAGAGCTACCTAAACAGAAGCTGCTAGATAAGTTCGACATAATACTATTGAGAGTAAACCCATAAACCATACGTTTGCTTGTTGCGCTTCTCGTAGGTCTGCTAATGTTCTCTCTTTTACTAGTATCATATGCAGTATTGCGTTTTAATGCGGCAATATGACTACATCGATTTGACAAAGCCGTGTTTTAAATTCTCTGCAATACTTAAATGCTAACATAATGCGAACTCTAGCCCAAAACACTAAAAAGCAAAATTGTTAACTGACATCGCCCCTCATCAGTTGGTGAAAAGTGAAAGACAAAATAATTACAATTAAGTATCTGATGGTAAACCAATTTCTTTTAATTGGTAAAGCTTGCAGGACCACTTCATTTGGTAGGAAACGTAGAATCTGCTACTTAAAGCGTCTTGGTCCGTCGGTAGCTCCTCTAAATAATAGGTTGTAGCTTCGTTAGTGTGTACTTCATGGAGACCAACTTTCAGCAAGCCATTAACCTTTAACCGGAACCATAGTGTTTCAAGTGTTTAAGAGACTCCTTGAGGGGAAAGTAGCAAAGCAAATAGCTTCTCCTCTATAACCATCGTTCTAGATTTGGTTCACAATACCTTAACTTTAACATCTTCGGTCCAAGATGCCCTTCACACCACTAGACCAAGTGCATCGACCACGCCCTAGTTCGGGCCGACTTTTAGGACCGCTTTGAATTATCGAAACAAAAAATTATTATGTTTGAATGAAAATGTAAATGAGCTTCTGCTTTATTGCGGTTTTGGTTCCCATAGACGAAGGGAGCCCGTGATTAGAGGCATGGCTACTAGAATAACTCATACGAGTATAAGTGAGTTTATTAAGTAGTCTGTGATCTTGGGATACCTTCTTCAATTGAACTGCTGCAGATGCCCTTATTTATTTTTGTCAACCAAACTGAGGAGCGATTTGCAAGCATTATACACCCAATTAATTATTTTACCTTATCTTAAGCACGACCGCTTACGTGATAGAAGATTTAGTACCTATGACATGGCTTTGTTACCCAGTTTACAACATCTTCGTTAAATAGTATCTATTCCACCACCTTGAAAACGGGTCTTCCAAATACTGAAGACAGCATCATGTCACAGCAATTGTAATTATGGAGGAAGTAGGAATGCCGGCATTATTCAATACTGCATTATCATTTTCTAATGCGCCGACTATATTGGATTTTTGGCCAATTAAGTCATTTTTCTCCCAAATACTATGACAACGTGCCACACGTCCCTTCGCACGCTGTTTCCGACGTTAACGCTTTATACTAAAATTTCAAAGTGGTACACTTTCAGTGGTTTGAGAGGGAATGATGCTGTAAAACAAGATTTATCAAATTACGATGGAAGCACCCTATGTTATTACTTCATGAATTTCCCATTTCCGGCATCTCAGACTTATTCGATTAGATAAACATTTTGCGGAACCTTAATCATAAGAGGGAAAAATCGTCCTCATAGCCATGATTTTAGGAGTAAGGAGTTAAAACGCAACGGTATTTAAGGAAGGTAGCTTTTCGAAGTGCTAAGTAGGCAGTGAATTGCTGAGACAGTTCGTTGAGGAGCTCCTTCAGCACTCGCAGGAAGACTTATTGTGTAAAAACCACGGCAAACTAAACTAATTAGAGCGTATTCTGCGTGTCTGAGGGACCGATCACAGAACTGCTCAATCATCTCATAGTAAAATGAATAGGCCTGTTCATGGCATCAAGTGTAGTGCTCTGCACGGTGTTATTTGGTTATTTTACAGATCGTCTGCCTCTAATGCTCTTTTCCACTCAATTTACCCAGTCGCAACTAATCCAAGACTGTTATTTTTTTCTCAAAAGCTTTTCACAACACAGTAATGACTTCCTCACACGCACATCAAAACAAATCATGGGAGTTTATGCAAGGTAGTGGCGCCGATCCTGATAAACTTAAGCGCATATCAACTATCCCCAGACGAGAGCCTTCAAATATGCAACATATTGATTGTTATTTATGCATTTTATGAATATTATCAATTGTGAAAGACTCCTGAAACTTTGTAGAGAAGGAGCAACTCAAACATTTCAAAACTCAAAAGGCGATTTCCTCTTCTTATTCACTGCCAACTTTGGTAGGCACTGCGATTCCCCTTACTGGCATACAGATTAAATTTGAGTGAGAATACACTCTTGAAGGTGTCGTGCAATGCTTTGACTACTTGGTCAACTCAGCATTCCATTTTGCACTTGGGGCTTACTACTGCACTTTCAATCGGTGGCATGACCTCCAGCCCTTTAGCCCCCCTGAAAGACTCGGCATGCTACAATTAACAGTAGCACCGCGAAACTTCCCCGAAGATGAAAGGAGACACAATACTCGGCCACAGTATATGCATTCAACATACAGTGAGGTTTGGGGGTACTAGTATGGCCCAGAGGCTAACCCATCCTGCCAGGAACAATGACTAAGAAACAAATCAGCCCTTTACCGAAACTGACAGTGAGACAATCAACTGAAGCACTGCATGGCCCACCTCCTCCTTTGAGCGTCGTCTTCCGCACTTCCCTAGGTCGGTCTCCAGTGTCAGCCATCACAACGTACTCAGCGCTGAAAGAACACACCCACGAGGCAAACGTGCTAGTTATCAAATTTGCGTGTATTTGGGGAGATACTTGACTGCAACTTCATTGATTTGCCTTAGCAATTCAATTGGATCTGCAGCTTCGTCCAGTTTGGAAACTGGATTTATGGACGGGGAATTGTGCGCGGCGACACGAGTGTCCACAACTGGACGTAGGAACACTGGCCTAAAAGCATAATTATGAAAAGAGAGGATGGGATTGAACATAGGTTAGTGGAGGTAGGTATTTAAGCCTGTTTCGCCTTACCACTTGGTTCTAGCTTCAGAGCTCCACAGCCACATAACTACCTGGGTTCTCTCTGGCTAGTAGGAAAGTGGAGGAGGTATCGGGAGCTCACACTATCGGTATCTTCATGAAGGTACACTAGACAGCTCCATAACAAAACATTTCCAAATAGTTCATGACTAGTGTCCCATCCGTCTTTAGTAGCTTTTCCACAGAACACGTGATTGCAATTGTTGCCGAAGGCAGACATCATTTTCAGCTCTTCTGTTTGGAGTCGTCACTGATCCTCCATCCGTAGCAGATGCACTTCTTCCGCTCCGTTGAGGTTTATCACTTAGCAGAAGAAATAAGGATAGCTGTCGTTTAAGAGTGGATTCGAGTTGGGACCACTGTCATCGCCCATAGGCCAGCCTATCAGGCAAAGGTACAATAGATAAGACTCAAAGCAAATCTTCCGTCAAAACTGAGAGTTAAACAAACAACGTATTACACTGCAGTTAATAGTCATCGCTACAATTGTTCACCGCCAGCATTATCAATGTCATCTAAAATGCGGTTTAAGTAGCAATCCAGTCATGGTATCACCTGTCTTTGAATGGAATCTAGCAAAAATTTGGTTGCTATGATATTGCGCGGTTGTGAGCTGGAGTAATTCATACCATATTATTTTCGTATGTGTGCATGAGCATGTTTAGTAAACGCCGGGCATTTTAAAAGGCAACTTTGAATAAAGAAAGCATAAACTTGCCTAACTTATTCCTTACTCTACTCCAATTTTCCACTTGTAGAAATTAAAGTTTCACCCGTGGTAATCAAGAGTGCTGGGACTATATTCAAACTGGGCTCTCTATGTTCCATTGGTGCCTTATCGTCCAATTGCACCACTTCAATCGCCCAATTACAGTGCTTACACAGCTCCGTTCACCATCCCCACTCGGGATACACAAGTCCTCTTTATTTCGGAATTGCACTTTTGCCACATCTGAGATACTAGAACGATTTTAAGGTTCTTCAAAACAAATTAATGATGCAAACAGAAGAATGGAGTACAGAAGCAAGAAAATCCATCGCATGCAAGTTGTTGCCTTCCTAGAAGAAGGATGTACCTTTCTGAGATTTCTGATGCACCACGGTTTTAAGCGATATAGTGGATTTAAATTACTCTTGAGAGATCGTTCACCTTGATCCTTTGTTGCGCCAAATTGTATTGTATGCTTGTTCTAGATGACTCGACTGTTTGAGTCATCCATTGATTGCCCTTGCCTAGTGTTCATTTCAACGAGCATTTGGTCGTTGTTTGTGATTTTTGGAAGCGGATTTTCCACGAATGGTGCATTATTTCGGTCGTACGTTCAGTCTGCTGGATTACCCCAGCCAGACATCTCACCTCCCAATTATGTCATGCTTCCTTCATCAACTCACACTGGTGATTGTACAGCCAGGTGAGTTGGCTTACGTTTACAGGTAATTCCATTCTGTTTTGTTTGGAAATTACTCTGTATTGGCAAATTGGTGTGGGTGCATCTAATACTAGGTGTGGATTTCTTTTTGTGTAAATGAAATAAACTTTACACCCATACTGGCACGTTTAGATACATTTGTGCACTATTGAAGTAGAATTTGTGTGTTGATGTATTTGTTTTGCGAAATGGAGTGCATTCATATGTTGGTATATTCTAGTATATTTTTACTGAGTGAGATGGGATATACATATTTCTCTCACTCCCTACCATGTACCTGCACTCAGTGTTTCACTTCAGTTCTGGTCCAGCTATCATCTCTATTTAAACAATGTGGTGACACATTTCCGTTTCTCATTCCAGAGGTAAATCTGCTAGAATGATGGCTATGCTGTGAGAGGTGCAAAGCCGCTAACCACAATCTGTGCTTTACACACGCTGTATTGACACCCAGCTTTGTTTGTTATATGGGTTTCCTCAATTTCGTTGATAGCCAAACTCCGTTTGTGGAATTCTACGTTCTTTCTTCTACTTAAGCTGCCTCCTTTTGTTATATCCCATAAATGCACGCTATTTTAATGTTCTGCGTTACCAAATTTCGGCGTGTCTTCTCTACCAAAGCGACTCAACTGATGGCCTGTTGTGCTTTTGTTCTTACATTCTTTGAACCATTCAAAGCGTAAACCATCTGCATTGTGGAGTACTTGAATGCAGGGCTAATGAAAGATAACGATATCTTATCATCCCTCCCACCAATTACTTCCACAAATTCAATGCCAAATTATTCCACTTGTAATTTAGCAGTGATACGTGATCCTAACATTTCTCCTTCCTGGAATTGTAGAGTATTCTTACCAAAATGCGCCCTTATGAGTTAAAATACACCCATATGCATGTTTTACGCAGCTTGCCTGTGTTAAGCTGCCGTTAGTTACAGGTTTTTGGGATAATCAGGGACTGACTATTTGACTGACTGGGTACTAGTAAATTAATGAGCTGGAAAAGGAAGATGTCACTGGCCTAGTTGTGCAGAGGTCTCTTGTCCCTGAATGCCTGGCCCAATAGTAACTGCAATTTAGCAAACTCTAGGTAGATCACACGATCGGCAAACTAGGGATAGTAGCTCCAGTTAGCACTTTGAAACTCATTGTGCGGTCATTGAGAGAGTATGAAAGTATTGAACTCAGTGGCAAATGCTGCACCATTTCCTTTATCCAACTTAATATCAACGCTCAACTACTGACGTGAGTTAGTTGCTATACCGATATGAACGAGGAATGTGTAGACTCTCATGTCTGACTTCATGTGTTTGACAGGTAAGTTTCACGGCTTCTTCTGAGTGCCCTTCAATGCGCAATACCCTTTCTTGCAAAAGACCATCTGTATCGCCTGTGCTAGATGGAGGTATGAAAAGATCGAAGCAGATGGGAGCGTCACCTCTCTAACAACCATATTTGGCAGTATGCTGCAGCCAGGAACCAGCCAATCAGTGAGTGTTATACGATTGCACTGGCAACGCGATGTGGTATAGAGATGGAAGCAGATGACACTCCATTGCTTCTCCTTATCCAAGAAGGGGCTGGGGGAGGCAAGTTCATCCTTCTGAGATGATATCCTTTATGGCAGCAGACCATTTACCAGGCTCCTTCATGCTAACATTTGATGCTCGTTTATGACTACGCACGGAATTGAATCAGTTCGTCACCTTCGTTTCGGAGATAGGCATTGAATTCGGGGTCAAGATGGCGGTTTACGGCGTCATCATCATCACCGTACTGTACAGTGTTTGAAGTTGTCAGTAGGCGTGAGAAGGTGGATTTGCCATCATTATTGACAGAAACTTGAATTCAACCCTACACGCTGTTGCATGCATGCACGCATCAACATGGACGTACAGTCAATATTATATTGCCTATCATCTCGCATCAAGGAATTTTGTGGTAAAACGCACCATCCAGACACTGTTTAAAAAATTGGCTTAAACTCCCCAATGATGGGTAGATGCTTCATGGCGGTTAAGACATCTTGTTTTGGAGTGAGCTGAAGAACTGCGTACTAATAACGCTGTGTGCATACTACCTCAACCTCCTCGAATGTCCACGTCACACTTCATGATGGAGTTGCAAGTCGAACCATGGATAACAGTAGCGTTTGGATCCACCAAATTAAATTGGAAGAGGGCTCTAGGACAGCGGAAGCGCTCGCCACCAATGGTAATCATTCAACCTTCTGGCTGTTTACAGAAGTGTCCTAAAATGGGACCAAAATTTGATATAGTCATTTTCTGCTTGAAATTGAATGCTAGTTTGCATATCCTCTCCTTCTCATTACGAATAAATTCGCCTTCTATTGTAGTGGTAAGGTGTAACTGCGCTCAATTTTGAACTTGACAAGGTGGCTTGTTAAATCTCAACCGAAAAGTCAAGGTGTAGAGTAGCACAAGGAAGTTGACAACCTTTGCATGTTGGAACGGTATAAATGGCAGTCACCAGAGGCCAGGACGACTTCACTTTTGCTACCAGGAAGGCGCAGTAGAGATGAAGGAACACATATGGTTATAAAGGCCACTGTAATGCTAAATCGTACTGCTAACTCCTACAACTTCAAATTTGACTTTATTGTCTGAGCAAAGTACTGAGAGGAAGGTGAATGCATGTGTCCGAAGTGATGCCTTCGAAGGGGGCAAAATCGCATGATGAGATATCGCCTGTAAGACACGATTTATGCGTTCTTATTTGGATGAAATTGGTACACATTTACAATGCGAAAAAAGTATGACCACTCTCAGATGACGAATCTACAGGAGAGTGCTTGAACTCTGAACCGAGTACTCCTGCCTCGTAAGATAAATTGCACACCTCTCTACAATGTACTCAGTGTATGGAACCAAAGGGTTTTTTCGTCTTTGCCCCCATTCAGATGGCATTTTTGCATCCGAATTGACAACTCATGCACAAAAAGTATTTGGCTAGTGAAATGCAGTCCTGATGTTATTGAATCACTACTCGCCTGTCTGACTAACCTGATGTCCTGGACGTTCCACGATAGAGGGGAAGACGTCACAAGACGTCACAGCATTACCAACGGAATCAACTATGCACATGCCTAGGACAGCTACCTTTTGCTAGAGTTGTAGCGCCTTCTTTTGCCATCAAAGGAATAGCGAGTGGAAAAGCTAAATGCTGCTCACAAGCATGCGATTCCGTCGTTATCATCGTCATTGCCTACGTGATATACCTAAGCACCTCAGCAGTGAATGCATGAACAAATCACAGTCCAGTATCATTTAAAAAAGTTGTTTGTGTGACCAATTCACGCAGTGAGGCAAATGCCACACAGCTGACGGTTAACAGAGACTCCTGCGTATTCTGTTTAAATTTTAATTCTATTTTTTAGGCTTCTATCAGAGGCTGATAGTGATGGAAAGCTCTCGTTCACTGTATTGGCGTTGTTTGCTGAATTGGTTCGGATGAAATCTGGTGTTAAATCATTCGAGAAATGGTTGAGTGCGTTTAAAGTATCATCAAAGGCCAAAGGCTTAATGCAGATGCTGAAATATGATAAAAGGACAAAAAATTATTACACCTAGGTCGTCGTGCGGGCAGTAATTGCGGTGCGGAAAGATGCTAAGTCAATATTTCCCCGTCAGGCAGCGTATTTGTAATTAAGTGAACCCGTGGTAAATGTGGTTGAAGCCGCATTCGGTTTTTCAGTTGATGCGGCAGGGGGAGAAGCTGGGGGTGTTGCGCCCAATTAAAAGAGATGTCGGTGGGTAAGATCCGGACATTAGGCTGTAAGTTAGAATTGAAAGCAGTGTCTAAACTGATGAGTGGGCTTCGCGACGACATTGTCAACTGGATAGAGCCTATAGTGAATTAGCAGTAATTTTGAGGCTCTCACGCAGACCGGCGCGTTATCGTAACTGCAGTTAACTTCGCGATTTTGGTCCCTTCAAAACGAAATCACACAAACAAATCGAACTTGGTTGCATCATGTGCAGACTATGACTATTTTATGCAAAACACTTGCGCGCAACTTCCGGGTTGTACAGAGGATAATGAATATAGCCCAAGTAAAATTTTGACCAGTTATTCGATGAATGAATGGGAAAGTGAGGGAAGATGTGTAGCGGTGGCAATGACAGAGTGCAAATAAAAGTAAATGTAGGACAGTTTTGCGCTGAGATTGATTCATTTTTAACAGTATACAGCCGTTAACACTATTCTGCAACATCGATGCACCAGATGAATTGTGTCTTCCAGACGTTACATGGTAGCATAAGTGCTGAGTAACCCAACTTTCTTGGGCCCTTCGACTCAAGCTTGAGTTAAGCATTTATCAATCTCAACGCATAACAGAGGCAGAAATCACAATCTCAATCGCACCCATTATCAACTCCAACGACCCATGCAGAGTTGATGCGATATGAGCCTCTATTGACCAAGTAGCACAGAAAACTCACTGGGAAGATCACTTAAACAAGTAACGCTGGCACGATTTAAGATGACAGAATGAAGTCTGAATAAAAAGGCAGCTTAAAAACACAGGTGTCAGGTAAGAGTTAACGTTATACGGGCTAGGAGGAGAGGGTAACTGTTGATGATGTCATTCGAGGGCAGGGAGGGATCTGTAAAAGCAGAGGTTCTGAGAATCTAAGAACTCAGCTGCATTCATCTTCGGTAAGTCTACAGCCCCTGCGTTTAGTCTGTGCATGAAACCGCACAGGCGACAGTCCAATCTGATTGGTCTCTATGATTCAGAAGTTAGAAACTCTATTGAATCTCCTTTTGTCCGCCCAATCATTCGTTTATTCCCTACTCAATCATTCACCCAATCAGTAGCTACTTTTTGCTTTGACATTTATTCACTTGTCAAACTTTGTATCTCCTTGGCTACTTTGAGAAATGATCTTCAGTGCTGGCTATGCAACAGTTCCAACTTCAGTATTTCGTACGCGCAGACCGACTACGTTCTACTTGTCTCTTGTCTACGCATAGCTCTATGTTTCCTACAAAGGGCAAAGCATGCAATGGCAACGATGGGGCAAAGTTCTGTTCAGACAAGGAACACTGCAAAGATAGGTGACTAATTGAGAAATTACTATTCAAAATTGCCTAAAATGTGCATGCACTTATAAGTTTGTCTGGTGAAATGACTAATACTGTTGTCTGTTAGGAGTGTTGCAAGCTACAAAGCAGCAAACGGCCAGTACGCCTTCTCTACCTGTTCTACCTCAACTCACTTTTTGCACGGTAAACTCTTTAATGTTATCAGTTGGAGTTCCTCGATGTGTTGGTCTCGTTTTTAAAGATGTCTGCGTAAGCACTAACGACTTCAAGGTAAGAACACCTGCTCAGCGCCTTCACTTCGAATATCAGTTTTCCCATACCCTGCGTTCACTAGGAGTTTATGATGTACTTCACACGCGTTGGAACTTAATGCACTACGTACACTCTGCATGCTCACGCTGGTGTGTTAATAACAGCTGGTAGGTGTAACTGCAGTCTTTCGGTTCCCTTTAGGTAGTCTAACCTATAGTTTCGCCCGCGTAAGTGGGCATTATGCCTGCAGTAAGCAAAAATTTTCCATTTCACTCGGTAGATTTCCTTCACAGATAGTGTGGTTATCGTATTTGTTGATTTATACACTCTTCATCAACTACACTTTTTACCATTTTATACTGAGAAACAGATTTTGCTTACTCGTGTGCAGCTACCTTATATTGATGTATCAAAGGTTAGAGACTCACGACAAATGTGCCATGCTCCTTCCAGGCAAAGTAGGCTGCATAGGCGGTGTCATTTTTGTCCAAATAGAGCAAGTAGTCGGTCAATTCACGAATCGACCTGTAGTCATCCACATTAATGAAAGAGTGAGGAGGCAGTGTGCTTTCGTAGTCGTCCTTGAAGGCGCCCAACACAATGGGAACCATATCGTATCTTCACACCATGACGTGTAGAGAATAAATGAATGAATGGCTAAAAAACTCACCAGCATAAGTTGCAAATGAATTGCTAAAGTAAACTGTGACATCCCTATCCTTTTACTGTGCATAAGTGAAAATTGAATACTTTAGGAAACCGAGTGTTTTAGGGTAAAATTGGCTGCGTATAATGCGTGAATTGTCATAACTAACTAAAACAGGTAACAGACGTGACACACAGCTAAACTGGCTCAAACGAAATTAAATTGCGAATAAATCTTTACCGCCGGCGAAGGCTAACGTGCCGTAATGTGAATGGATCCACATGCAGTCCAATATCCACTTTCCCTACAGTGTACGTCATGCCGCTCATATCACATTCCTCTCATGGTCACGTTAGAATATTCAACTCCCAGATACCTGATATTAGCTACCCTTATGGAATAGCTTTGCTCTGCTTAGCGGACAGGTGCTTCAGCCAGAAAAAACATGTCACGGCTACCTAACTTGAGATGATAGAAGAAGTAGAAGGTGGCAGAAATCTCTCATGCTGAACTTTTACGTTGAGGCTGATAAGGCGGCTATCCTAGGGCAGACTTCAATTGCATTTGGCCTAATTAAGGAGGAAACGTCACGCACTGCATGGCATTGACGTAGACCTTTTCCGTTATGTAATTCCGGCAGTTGGAATTCTCAAATGAGAGGTAGAATTTGTAGTTTAGTGAAAGAAAATAAAATGGATCCAAATCGGGTGGAAACTGCGCTCGATTGCGTCCGTATATATCCACCTACACAAAGCAGAAAAAAGAACATTTAAGCGACTTGACACTATTGCAGGCAAGGCAGTACATTATCCATAAAAAAATTAATTTATGGGAAAAAAATCCTTTTTTCTACATAAAACACAACAGCTTGTGTGAAGTATCCTCAAGGCATAAAAGGGTAGGGGCAAGGTACGCATTTATCAGCCATGAATCTCTATGACACAGTGGCACTTATACCAATCCGTACTAAATGTCTATATTTGGTGTAAAAATTAGCCGATCAGGTATTATAAAAGCAAATAAACATTTTACATTATCGTCTATCAGTATCATAAATTCCTAAACA